AGCAATTATATAGACGGTTGGTAATGTTTTTACCAATATTGTTCATTTGTTTTCAAACAATTTGATGACTAAACGACATTATTTTTAGTTGATTTTTTATAGAGGTGATCTTTATAGGGAGATTTATACTTTGAACGGTTCTGATTATAAATACGAAATTCTATAACTTGACAACGAACATTTTTGAGAAATTTTGAGTAAGAGTTCCTACTCATCTTTGAGTAACCAAGTATTGTTCATTTCGATATATACACAAAACCCCCAAAGTAATAAATAGAAACTTTCCCACTTCATATATTAAATTTTAGCTTGCTTGATGAGCATTTAGCCTAGCTGAGGACATGGACAACTCATTTCAGTCAAATACAGATCCTTTAACCACCACCATAAGAGTTGCCACCAGCACCTTCAACAACCCTATCGACCCGAACTTGGACCCGACAGCCAAGGGCCTGAAACTGTGGATATCTTGATGAGATGGATGTTCCTACAACACTTATTACGTCTCATCACTCGATTGATTGTAGGTATAATTAAGTTTTTTCTAGATGTGTGTTAGAGATTTCACATCGGAGAATGAAAACTCTGCGTTAGCGCATGAAGAAGAGAGCCTCATATCTTTAAAGAACCAAATCGAAAAACCATGAGATGGTACCGGCACGTGGTGTACATTTATATGCTGCACCAGAAGATAATCCCATGGTAAGCACCTTGCCGCTGGCGCAATGTCCGTGACAGGATAACACGAGCAATGTCGTCCTCTGGATCGTTTCTCTAAGACATACATTTTGATAGGAAAATGTTTAATCAGAATAATATATTAAACATTCCTAAAACAAGAGAGTAATCATCTCACATTGGATGTATATTAATAACGGGGAAGCACAAATGAGAGCAGAGAAGAAAAACTGACAGAAAGCTGCTTAAACTGAGGATATAAAAGCAAAATTCTACATAATTTATTCAGAGAAGAGTTGTGCGTTAAGCAAGTCAACATGGTTGTGGCAAATTCTAACTAAACCACCACAACAAATTACAGATTCACGAAGAATCAGATTTTGCTCAGGAATGAACGCGTGCCATGCATGCTCTGGGGAAAAATCAATCTAGCTTTCAGCTTCTTTGGCTTCACCCACCTCGGTTGAAACATTTGATTCTTCGGTATCTTGGGCTTCTTTTTTCTCTCCTGAGACATCCTGCAGCTGCAGAAATTAATAAGACGTTAATCCAGCTCTTATACTAACTTTTTTAACTCAGAAAGACACACCCACAAGCAGTGTATGAGAACAAACCCCCAAGTTTCTAAGACTAGTTGTAACATCCTCTTGCTGCTGCTGAAGAGTGGTCCTCAGTTCTTGAAATTCCTATTTTCAGTTCAATGACTTATGTTAGCGTAAACGATCACATTTCAAAATGAAATTTGACAAAGATTGATTGCTGGAGCACAACTTACAGATCGAAGTTGATCCACTTCAGTGCTGAGGGATTTCTTGAGTTCTGAAAGCTCCTGCATTAAGGAAGAGAGTTGCATCAAGAGTTGAACATGGTCAAAACTTGCAAGAAAGCAATACAAGTATGAGCAAACAAGTTTTAGCTCCAATCCAATCAGAAGAGAGACTCAGTATAACGAAAAAACACATTCAACAAAGCTTACTCGTATTTACTATTTGCATCCAAGTTTGAAGCACAACCCAATTTCTGTACTTTTGGCCATTTCAATCACCTTCTATACATCAGAAACATGTGATTTATAGATATCAAGTATCAATGGGAAACACCAACAGTTGTGGTTTTGTCCGAGTTTCAGAATATGAACAAAGGAAATGGTTTGTTGAACTAACATGTAAGTGTTCTCAACAGTTTAAAAGTTGAATCACACCGATTCGACGCCCGCCCCACCCTCTCTCCTATGCACGCCTAAACACAACACAAAACATCATCAACTAAGATAATAAACGTAAGAATTCCAAAAGCTAATTATTAAAATGCATAAAAAAAAATAAAAAAAAAACTTTTGGTAAACTTTGATTCGGTGATCAAAGAAAGACCTCAATTGAATTAACTCTCCAACTAAATCATCTTACTTTCCAAAGAAGAGGCACCCAATTCGTACATTAACCACACATACATTAGCAAAAACAAATCATCCCACCAAGATTAACTATAAACTGAATCCAAATGCATGCTGCTCAAGTATATAAAAAAATATATAAACACTTACGTCGCGATAGACTTTTACTTGAGTGTCTAACTTTAACCTCCAACTTTGCAAATCCTAATTACCCAGATCAGTAAACAAGAAAATTAGGCACAAACACCATTCCATGATCGGATGAGAGAAAGTAGTGGTCAGTTGTTTAACCTGCTTCAACCCTTGAATTCTAACAAGTAGCTCAGACCTCGATTCATTCAATTCCTATTAACAAACATAACATCGTGACCAAATTAAAAACAGCTTTAAACACAAAATTACAATCTGGGTTTTTCTAATTCTTTCGGTAAGAATTCTCAAAACCCTAAACAAAATACATAAAAATAAAAATAAAATAAAATAAAATTTGCAACAAAAATAAAAGGTTACCGCAAGCTTGGAGCCAATCGGAGTCACATTCTCCTTACTCTGCAATCACATAGAATTATTGTTCCAAGTTCATAACATTTTAAAAAGATACATAAAAAGGAAAATACAAAATAAAGAGAAATAAATGGGAAGATAAAAAAAGAGGAGCGGCCGTACGGAGGAGAGTGGAGGAGCAGGGGCAGGGAGAGGAGGAGTGGAGGGAATCGAGGGATCAGAAGAGTTGGCGGCGGCCATTTGGGATTGGGACCAGATCAGATGACGAGTTCTGATTTTCTGATGTTTGTTTGTGTTGTGTGTTGTTTGAATTTTGGGGGTTTCAGTTCAGTTGGAGGAACAGAAGGAGGAGCGGAAGTTCAAATTTCGAATTTGAGTGTTTGTTGGGTCGGCAGGCACTAGGCGGAGTGGGACTTTGAGATTGCCGCATGTAAATGTAGTGAGTTTTGTGATCGACTTTTGAAGTGTGTGTTTTACCAAAACGGTAAGAGAGTTGAATTGTTTTTGTGACACTTTAACGAAAAGCTTTAAGTACTGTTCATTTTAATGAAAAATTATATTTTTACACTAAAAAAATTAATCATGGTATTATTTACTTTACCCTTTATTTTGTCTATATTGTTAAAATTGAACGTTTTCAAGCAATTTTCATTAATTTTCCTTTGTTTTTACTATTCATTTTGAACTGTAATTGTTTTTTGTGTAACTCAATTTGTTGTTGATATCATTGTCGCTTTATATTTCCTACGAGATTTTTTATAACTCTCGTCTTGCCACGTGTCAAGCAAGGCAACATTTTTCCTTATCAACCAATTTGTCTTCTCACCCATTTTTCTTTGGAAACAAAAGGCTTTGGAAAGTAGAAAAACTCATTCATTTTGCATATCCTTGCAGATTTGATATTTTGTAGTAGATTAGTAGTGTATTGATGCTTTTTTTTTATTAGGCTATCATTTTGGAGTGTAGATGTAGTACTTAACGACAAATGTGTTTTTATGTTTTAAAGCAATATTTATGTGGTAATGTGGTATGTGCAAATTAAAGAAGAAAAAAAATATTTTTCTTAACGGGTCAGTTTATTTTACCTGTTGGGTAAAGTAACCCGACCTGTTAAAATAACGGGTGTGACACGACACAACCCAATAAGATAACAGGTGTTACATAAAAACGATATGAAACACAGAAAACACGACCCGTTTATACGCTAGAGCCACATTTGGTGGGTTTTGGCCAATTTTCTTGCCCTTGCCCTTGCCATCCAAGGATGGGTGGACTTTTCTTAGCATTCAATAACTTTGACTGTTTTTGTTTGGTTATTTCTCGAGCTTATTTATTGATTTTCACACTAATGCTACCCCTTTAATTTTATTTTTTTAGCTAAAATTGATTTGTCTAATCTCTTGAAATTGCCAATATCGAGCCATTTCACTCATTTACGTCCATACTGGTAGTCTACAGTTTCATATTGTGCCAACTGCAATAGCTCATCTCTGCTAGCATGGTAAAAGACATTAGACAAATTCAGTTTTTTCACATGGTAAGTGAGACTAAAAGAAAGTTTCAAAAGGCAAATGTTAGATGTTATGTTAGCTATTGACGGAGTTCAAACTCATGCCGTCGTGCAAGGGCTTAACATCTTTCCACCATTGTGGTAAATGCCACTTGCCCAAAATTTAAAATTTTGAATAATGAGGGAAAGGCAGCAAACGCTAGGTGTGCATGCAACGCAGTCGCGAGCTGTTTTTTATTCGGTAACGGGTTGTGTTTCCGAGAATACCCTCCACTGCAGACATGGATAGCGAATTGTGTTGCAGTCCACAGAGTCCACTTGCGCCTGAATAGGGGCATTACCAGCAATTCAACTCTTCACCAGTTAAAGCGGAGAGACGCTTTAGACCATCTCTAAAAGAGATGTCAAATTTTAAACCTAAAATTTAAATTTGAAGACTTACATGGCACTTTGGCATTTAAAAATTTTTAATTTCCAACCGATATGTCAAATTCTAAACATAAAATAATAATTCATATATATTTTCTTTACATTGGGAATGAAAAGAAACAAAAGGATAATGGTTTAAACCAATAAAAAATTATTAAAAAGCATTTAAAAAAGTCTAAAGGTGCTGTCAAATTTAGCAGCAATGGGGAGAGATGTCAATCCATGTCATGCCATATCAGATTTGGCTTCTCGGTTAAAAAAAATTAATGCTGTTTTTTGTTACCATTATTGCTGATTTGGACATTTTAACATCTTCTTGGAAATACTCTTACGACTTTTAGTCCAGCAATAATCATTTTCTTAAACACACTTTAATCACGCTTAATCATTAAATTAACATCACCGGCGCCAAAAGCACCTCCGTCAACTAAATTTAATTAAAATAATAAATAATTCCAGATATTTTAGAGAGGCTCCACTGTTTTAGTGACTTAATTACAAAGAAACAGAACCAACCAGAGCCTTCGATTTGTCTGCTACTGCTGCTTCCACACCTCCGTGCGAGCTGACTCGCCAACTCGAAGCAAGAAAATGAGTCAGGAATCATTCATCTACAGCTTTGTGGCCAGAGGCACGATGATCCTGGCCGAGTACACTGAGTTCACCGGCAACTTCCCGGCGATTGCGGCGCAGTGTCTGCAGAAACTGCCTTCCTCCAATAATAAGTTCACCTACAACTGCGATCATCACACCTTCAATTTCCTCGTCGAGGACGGATACGGTGCGTGCTTCGATTCTGTTCCAGCTGACTGATCTCTTTGCTTTCTGTTTTGGTTTGATTTTCTTTCGTTTTCCCGGGAAACAAACAGTACGGGAGCTTGAATTGCATGCGGGAGTAGCTGGATCTAATGTGAAACAGAGAAATGTGAGGATTTATGATCTGTTTTACTTGGTTTGTAGTGGGAAGTTGGAAATTAGTGAGCTTTTTGAACTGAGGTTTGCTTGGTTTTCGGAGATTTTGGTAAAGTTTGAGTTTTTAGCTGTTTGGTTGCTGAGAAAATCTGTGGAAAAAGGAAAGAAGTTCGAATTTTTAGTCTTGTTTTGTTGTGGTTTTCAACAATTTAGAATACTTGGCATTTAGCTCAATTGACTAGGCTTGGAAATCAGGTGAGTTTTGGTGAGTAGAGTAGGTTGAATTGTTGAAAGGGAAGGAACTTGATGATATTTGCATAAATATTAGATGAAGAAGAAGGAAGTACTTTAAATACCATTTGAATAATAGTAAATGTGATCAACGCTCTTCGGCATTGAGATGCTGAAAATTCATTCAACTGGTGTTTTGAATTATTTATTTCACCTTGAAAAGAAGAGAAACAGTGGATTGGTATCACATTCATTGTTTTCGTTCATTTAGTAGTGGAACCTGTACCTCCGCATTACACCATGCACTTCCTTAGGATGCAACCCAGAATTTAATTGACTGCCCCTTATTTTGGACCCCTCACTTTATGAAAATAGGTAGCTATTATATGACTCAATCAAATTTAGAATCAGTTCGGGGAGGCTCGTAGCTTAGTTGGTAAGAGCACCTACACTGAGAGTTGGACTCTCAAATCTAGGCTTTTGGCCTTCTTTAAACTAAAAAGGCAAAATGTTGTATCAGTTCTAGCCTTGTGCATATTAGTTGGCTGTTGAGATTACCTGTGAGCTTAACTAAGCAAAGCACAAGCTTGGGGTTGAGCCATTTCAACATCCTTATGTTTCTTTTATTATGTTTCATGCTAATACTGCTTGCATACAAATGTTCGGTTCAATAAATGTTATGTGTGACTTTAAATTATATCAGTATTAAGACTAGACAGTATGCTGGAGATGGTCTTAGCTTCTGTATGAAATGGATGTTAACGAATTAGTAGTACAATCTGTTATGTTCTGTAGTCTGTTGATGCATCTATGTGTGTGCCCAAATCAACATAATTTCAATCTGTGAAATATCTTTTGGGGAAGGTCAAACCTGTTATCTCGTGTTCTATGGAATTTGCAGCATACTGTGTTGTTGCCAAAGACTCTGTTGGCAAGCAGATATCGATTGCATTTTTAGAACGAGTGAGAGCTGACTTCAAAAAAAGATATGGGGGTGGTAAAGCAGATACGGCTATTGCCAAAAGTCTTAACAAGGAATTTGGGTATGTTCATTCATGAATCATGATAGGTTATGCTCAAGTAACCCTATGCTTTTGAGAATATTTTTTTGTTCAAATGGAAACTAAGATGAATTTGAAAATTACAGACCAATAATGAAAGAGCACATGAAGTATATAATTGATCATGCAGAAGAGATTGAAAAGCTATTGAAAGTGAAGGCGCAAGTTTCAGAAGTTAAAAGTATAATGTTAGAGAATATTGACAAGGTACAGTGTCTGTTCTCAGATATAGTGCGTGGATTCAATGTTAAAGTACGAATGCTTTTAGTTATTGATATACCGTCTGCATCTAAATGCAGTTCTTTCTGTTTTGTTTTTTTGTGCTAGTACACGTAAGACCTTAACCAAGTAAGTTGTTGAACTAAACTCTTCAAAAATATATGAAGCACCGTATATAAACTACACATATATTAGATTGGTGACCACACAATGGGTGAAAATCTAAGCAACCATCTTCTCTCTCTATTCGTCTCCGACTCCTTCCATCACTGGGTATCTAATGACTAGCAGTTATTTGTAGTAGAAAGAGATGTGACCTCATAGTGGTGGTGTCAAATGGCTTCATCATGAATGTGTGACACCTATTCATGGTGGTGGTGGTGGTCATAAAAAATGGCAGTTCCATAGCTTTAGAGAGTAAAAATGCACGGAGAATCTTTTGAAGATATAAAGAAACAAGGTGACCTTGTTGGTTTGTTTGTCTCTCTCTTTGAGTGTGATTTTGTAGTTCACAGGTGCCATAGACTGTTAGACTGGGGTACGGGGGCTTCTGTCATGATTTACATTGCTGGCTATGGTGCTATACATATTACCACTCTGTTATGTCAGCTCTTTGAAGTTTACTCGAGTATATATAATTCTTATAGTCGTATGGGAGGTCCATGTGTTTGTACTATACTCTAGTGGTGGTTGGAGTACTTTACTTGTTTGCAAACTAGGTACCCCCATGCTACTAGCATTTGTACGAATTCATGGTTCCTTCTACTAGGCATATCCGTCTCATTGTACAAATTACCACAATTAGTAAATAGAGACTCTTGGTTGTCCATCCCAATAAACACTTAAAACAGAAAAGAGTTTCCCGTCACAACTTTGGTTATTCATTCTAGTGAGATTAGTACAATATGGCTTCTTTTTTCGCAGTCTTCATCTGGGATATATAAACCAGTCACAGTCAACATCTGGGATGTATAAACCTTGCATTATATGATCCATTGCACCAATTAACCAGGCCGTAGATGTTGCATTTCATGCTTATTCCACCTACACATGCTTTTCAGGCTATTGATAGAGGGGAAAACCTGACTGTTCTTGTTGACAAGACTGAAGATCTTCGTTCTCAGGTAAGTGGAGGCAAGTGCAATCCTGCCGTTTTATCTGTCATATGTATTAAACTCTTAGGTGCTGAATAAGTTTGCTTGTTGCATTTTTCAGGCCCAAGATTACAAAAATAAAGGGACGCAAATGAGAAGGAAAATGTGGTATCAAAACATGAAGATAAAGCTGGTCGTTTTCGGAATCCTCCTACTTCTGATCTTGGTAATCTGGCTTTCTATTTGTCATGGATTTGACTGCACGAACTAGTAGTATTTAGGCACAAAGCAATTGCTTTCAAATTATACGATACATGAGCTTCAATTCACAGATAGTGTTGAACATGGAGGGAGAGGGAGAGGCGGGATGGGGACGGGCGAGGGGATAGAGTGAGAGAGGATTCTTACATTTGTCTTTATCGAATTGTTTACTAGATTTTATTTGAATATAGCAACTATGCAGACAAGGTTTTGGTGATTTATTTTTTCTTATCTGAATCTTACATGATTGATTAGATCAGGAGATTCCTGATATGTCCCCAAAGAAACTTTTCTGAGACATGCCAAAGGGCAAAACTAACAAATTTAGTGATATCCCTCTTGTCAATTAAATAAGTCGGGAAGATTTCAGGACTCGTTTGACAATGTCTTATGAGAATATTTTTAGAAAATGAAAACAAGCAATTGAATTTAGTGATCGTATGGACATTATAGCTTTAATTGGGAAACATTTGTAGAGATGAACAATGAAAACGTGTTCGGTACCATTTCGGCTTGAATTTTTAGTTCTCATATTTTGTCCCACATATAAAGGAAAAAGTAAGTGGAAAAAAATGTAGGAAATGAAAACTAAAAATTGAAAACAATTTGAAATTATTTTCACCCACAGGATTTTATTTTCATGTAATTTCATTCACTTCTCCCTCTTGCTCTCTACTTCCGCTTATCCTTCCCCTTTTCTCATTTCTTCCATTCTTTCTATCCCGAAAAATAAAAATTAAAAGCGAACTGGTCATCAAATCAGCCCTAACGTTTCAATTGGCTTTCCCTCTACTCTTGCCTCCCATAGTCATCTATCGGTGCACTTCCCACTCATTATTTTTACTTTCCTAAAGTTTTAATAATCATTTAGAAGCATCAGAAGTCATGGCCTGCCAAATTTACTGAACAATATGCACTGACCTTTAAGAGTGCTAGAGCCCGAGGGACAGGCGAGTGAACAGGGCTAGAAAGTCTGGTGGATTTGGTCCAGCGTGTGGCAACCTGAGGGATAGGCCCGGTCCGAGGAAGAGGCCTGACATGAGTTGCCAGCCCGAGTGCCCGAAGGCAACATGACAGAAGGCTGACGTTAGGACGATGTCAGCCACAATATAAAATTAATAAAAATATAAAATATTAATAAAAAATGTAAAAAAATTAATAAAAAAAAGTAGAAAATTAATAAAAAATAAAAAATTTGTAAAACTCAGCCTTCGAACTCAACGGCTCTAGCCGGAGTTTATTGCCGAGGCTAATGATACACCCACAAACAAATGGGAGAGATCCAATCCCTCCTCCGCCGTAGCTACCGTCGCACCCCACACCGCCTTCGCCCTCACCCATATCGCACGATTTGTGATTTGTTTTTGAGAGAGAGAGAGAGAGAGAGAGAAAGAGAGATTTTAACTAAGCAGTTGGCGATCCTTTACCTACTTAACCAAGTGAAAAACTGTGAATTTTTGCACAGATCGGCTATTGATGTTGTCAAAGTTTGAGGCCCTGCCTCCAAAGCTCAAGTGAGAGAGAGCTGCTGAGCTTGAAAAAGGAAGAAAAAAAAAACACAAAGCTTTTGGAATGATCCTGATCTTGGTGCATTGGCACCATGTGAAAAGAAGGAAAAAAAAATAATAAAAAACAAAGGTTTTAGGAATGGTGTGCTACACCATGTGAAAAGAAAAAATTAAAAAAATAAAAATAAAAATTTTAATAGAAAGTGGTACAACGAGACCGATTAAAAATCTTATCCGAAATTACAAATAAAATTATTTTGTATTATTTTTAAAAAAATACTAATATTTTATTGCATATTGTCACGGCTATTCAATGTAGGGATAGAGATGCAAAATGCAGTTACTGTTCACTGGGGTGGATTAAATAGTGAATAGCCTGGGGTGCCCTTAGCACTGGTGGAAATGCTCTAAGTGTTGCATGAGGTCGTTTTTCGTGTCGTGTTTTTTGTGTTCGTATCGTTTTCGTGTTATACATGATATTTTATTGGGTCGTGAACGTCCGTTAAAACAAACAGGTAATACAACCCGACTCAAAATTGGCCCGTTAATATTAATAGGTAATATGACCCGAGCCGTTACCCTTACCCGTTAAAAGAAATATATTTTAAATTAATAAATAAGTGAGATAGAATCCAACGGTAACAATTTAATCTCACATAAGTGAGACTAAATCCTATGGTTATTGTTTAAATAAGGTTTTTTAATAATTTTTTAATTGTGTAGGAGTGCGAAAAATAAAAAATGTATATTTATATAAACGCTCACAATGACGAGATTTACAACTTTCGTGAATGACTTAACTCTGAATTCCGCCACTACAGTCACAAAAATAATCGATGGTTAAATTTGAATCTAAGGTTTATGGATTATGGTGTTGGATTTTGGAGTTGAACTCTTTATGAAAGTTGTAAAGCTTGAGTGATTGTATATTTTTTTTTTACATTTTTCACACTTCTACTGACACACCACGACCCGGAACGTCCACCTGGACTTCGAATCAAGCTGTGTTGGCCAACACTTGGAGGGTGAAGAAGCTATAAAGTGTAGTGATTTGGAAATGTGAAAAAATTTAAACCTAAAAGTGCCTAAATACAAGAGTGCGTTGTGAGCGGGAATGAACCCAATTCACACGTGATGATAGAGCATAAGTACAATACAGTAAAATATGGTGAGAAATTATATCATCGAAGGTAACCGTCTACCCCAAGATTTGCCATTAATCCTCGTCGGTACGAAAACTCTGCTACTAGAACCTAGAAGGGTGAAAAATAAGGGTGAGTGGGCCTGAAAATAAAGTTTTAATAAAAACCTTTGAAAATGTTATAACCTCTCGCCGTAAAACATGTATAGTTTCCAAAATATACATACTGCGTATAGTATGAAGATACTCACCGTAGCCTGCAAAACGTAAATAAGGTATGACATCCCAAAATTCACAATCTCAACAGTAATATAAGTAAAATCAGGTGCTCAACAATCTATACTAGCATGCAAGTCGGAGTCGCCTAATGCAATCTGTACGACTGCACCTATTGCTCATCAATCTATGTTAACACACGAGTCGAAGTCGCTTAATACGACTTGTATGATAAGGCTAGGTGTAATAATATACGCTCTAGTTATACGATCATGTGAAGAGTAGCGCTATGCGCAGTCACCTATGAGTCGTAGTCACTTAATGCAACCTACACGACAGGGCTAACACCTACTTGGATCCAAGGCAAGCTTGCGGTGCGGGAGGTGAACATCACGTGAAGGACTAGCCTTGGCATGAGATGGGAGCACGAACATTGGGGTGCAGTAATGATAAGCACTACATGAATATAAACATTCCATAATGATGCAATAATTCTAACCAACATAATAAACTTACCTGAACTTACCTGCACATTCTGTAGGATAATTTTGGCATTTCACAACAGTGCAACATATCTTACAACATTATTTAATCATGGCATGATATACATAAATCAATTCAAAAGCATTGATGGAAACTATAAAGTTTATATATACATACTATAAAAAGGAAAAACCCATTTACTTGAGGTCTGCGCTACAACTCCCTAGCATGAATATCGAGGTCTTTCAAAATGATCGGTGCCTAGAACAATTATCAAATCACGTCTCAGAATTCTTATCGATAGAACATGTAACTTACATAAAAGACATCCCCAAGGACGTTCTAGAATAATTTGAAACCCATTGACCAAAAGTCAACCGTCAGTCAAAGGTCAACGATAAGGTCCACAACCTTACTTAACTCGATTAGGAAGATCCGCACCTCGAATTTCCAGTCCGTAACTTCCTAAGAGTTTCAATAAGCTTCTAGAACAACATCCTAAAGTTTCGGAATGATCCAACGGTCGGATCTCCGCCAATTGCTAAAATTAAGTGGCGGCCGACATTTTATTTTACGAACTTACAAATCTAATTTGGGAAGATCCGTACGTTGAATTCCCAATCCGTAGGTTCCTATTGTCCTCAAATATTACGCACTATAATGTGTGAAGGTTTGGTGATGATTCAACGGTTAGATCATCAATTCATATAAGGATTAAGTGGCGACCTTTATCAAAACTATGTTCAAATGATGAGATTTTATCAATCGGACTTCACATATAGAATTGGGGTATCAAATTTAGCCTAGGAAGGTTAGGGGGTACCTTGGTCCACGTGCCACCGCACACGGCTGCCGGTTGCCCCGACTCGCTGAAAAAATCAACTATTTCTAAAAATTCTCAAATTTCACAAAAAATGAAGATCTCAATGAGTAGAGCAAGTTTTATACATGTGGCCAAGTCCAATTTGGCCAGAAAAAAGCCTCTAATCGCCACAAACCTATCGGAAACCTTAAAATGGGTGTTCGTTGATTCAACTTGTCCGGTGTTCCAACGCCCCTATCGCTGGTTGGGTCTTGTTCCTAGGTCCAAGGGGAGTTGATTAGGGGTGGTGGTGGGTGGTGAAACTAGCCGGAACGGAGGAATTACCATTGAGCACTGGTGCTCCGTGAGGTTCTACACGGTTTTGGAGTTAAAAACCTTCGAATTTGGGTAGAGATGGTAGATGGGAGGTTGTGAAAGAGATTGCAGGTGTTGGATGATGTTGGTTCAATGAGAAAAATGGAGGAAACCCCTGGAATTTGGTTGGGTGGGTACACGGATAGGTCGACGGAAAGGGAAGGCTGGGAGATTTCTCTCCCCTCTCCTAATTGGCTAACTCTCTCTCCTCTAATTTCTGATTGGTCATTCCCCCTTTAATTTGATTGGTTACAATTCCGACATGGTGGGAGTTTAATTAGTTTATAAACTAAAATTTGAGTAAACAATTTCAAATGTCTGTAACTATACTGTTATAATCCGGACTCGTAAACGGTTTTCACCTATGCGTTCGTAGCTTCAAGATCTATTTGGAAACATTAATTGTGACTTCGAATGGTCAACAAAAGTCAAACATCCTCGCCTCTAAGTGCATTTTAGTACAATCATTATTTTAAAATTTATAAAACTTAAAATTAAGGACGTGTTGTCACATCTATAATAATTATTATCAGTTTTATTAATTTCGCACTCAAATAAAAAACACTATTCATGAGGTTGGAGGGTTTTAAAAATTTAAACGAAGATATAACCATCTCTCAGCATAGATGATGCAATCTTAAGCGTTTATATATTAATTTACATTTTTCACAGTTGCACATTAATGATTTTTATTTA